AGCAGCAGGGCTAAAACTGTACAAGAAAGACACAACGAAAGGCTTAGGTGATTGAGGTTGCAGGAAGGAACCACAAATGTGCCATTGATCCAAAAGTCACCTTTTGCAAGGTGTATTCGAAGCAACTCACAGTCACAAACTGGATGATGCATGCAGGATGTCCCAGTAAGGCTGGGAGGTAGAAAGATGGCAGTTGTAAGCAATGTGCAAGCAGATCTATGGCATTCAGGCTGTGGTAAACGGGGATAGGTTGTGCTACTCACAGGGATGTCAGATTGACAAGGCTGCCCAGACTAGCAGGTATGGGGCCACTCAAGTTGTTGCCTCCAAGGCCCCTGCCATGTGATAATGTACCATGCCACCATGTGAAAGCCATGCCACCATGTGCATGCCATGCCACCACCAGCCATGCCACCATGTGCATGCCATCCAACAGGGTGCATCAGCATGTTGCACTGATGGCTGCGAAAGCTCTTGGTGGGCAACAATCTAGCATGCATTCGCAGACCACTTCGCAGCAGCAGTCAGTTTTACAATGCTGCCATTGTTTGGCCAGTGCATGGAATGATTCTTTTCATTTCGAAGCACCCATGCTTCAAGTAAAGGCAATGCCCCTTCTCAAGGCACACCTTCGAGCCTTGTCACCTGCTTCATAACAGCACGCCTGCCTTGTGCTCACGGGGGCTGCATGCGGCTCACAGGTGCTGCAGTGTTGCAAAGCGGGTGATGGAGTCAGGGAGGGAGCCACTGAGCTCGTTGTCGCTCACATCGCTGGGGATGGAGTGGGGTGGGGCATGGTGGTGGTGAGTGGGTGGTTGTGGTGGGATGGAGGAGGGGAGATGGTAGGCGGGGGAAGAGACGAAGGGATGAAGGTTATATGCGGACTGCAGGCAATTTTTCGGTAGTTACAATGTGTCTTATTGAAATGAGTGCAATAATTACATGTGATGAAAGCAAGAGGTACGTGAAGCGCACAAAAGGAACAAGAGGCGAGGAAGAAAAGAGACAAAGTGCTAATCTCAGAGCACATGCAGTGACTGGGTTTCCTATGAAGCAAAGTCTGGGAGAGGCCCAGAGAATGCATTGCCTTGCAGCTCACTGCAACAAGGCATGGGTCCATGAGATAAGGATGGGGGGGTGATTAGCTTAGCAACGTCTCAAACAGGGAACGGTCACGGTTGCATATGTAGACAAGAAGCGTTGCTCTCATCTTGACTAAATCAAGAAGCAACAAGGTGGCATCTCGTTTAGCACACGCACCTTTGCTGTTCCATGAGACAGCTTCATCAAGGCACACTCACAGAGCATGGAGCTGAACGTATAACGGGGCAGCAGGAAGAGACCCCTGCAGCTGGTTGTGAGCCATGGAGCTGGAACAAAGCCGGCATGGGTGTGGTTGGAAGAAAGGAAAAGATGGTATCATGCATCGCACGAAACGTGCTATAGTGAGAAGTGAGCCTTTGAGGGGAACCATAGCATGTTCAAATGCACATGTGGACCCCATGATTATCCACTTTTGCTGCATGCACCAGCCCTCCCATGGGCAGGTGTTTGCACGCCAATCTACTTGCACAGTGGCAAAAAGGGCAGCTTGAAATGTACAGCACAGCCTGGCACCACATGAAATGGACACGAACACCTCAGATCAGACTTTGTGACATGGCCACTCCAGAAACACTCATAACCAACGGTGGGCCCCCTCAAGCACGTTTGCTGGTCCCAACAAATATCCTCTTTTCCTTTCTAGCTCTGTCACTTTGCTTCTCTCACTTTGCCCATGTATGCTCCCTAGCATTTTGCAGCAAGCTAGTAAGACACCATTTCTTCAAGGCACAGCGTTAATTCATTCACTCACAGGGACGTGAGGCACTCACAGGGACGTGAGGCAGCACAGAGACCAAATGCCACGAGAAACAACGCCAGAGAAGCGGTTGTGGAAAATGTCGCTGTTGGACAGGCGAACAGGATTGGAATGGATAGGACGAGTGGTGCAGCTGTTAGCAAAGGATAGGACCTCGGCTTCGAAACAATGAAACACCAAGTCAGTTGCATCAACAAACGATGTGGATAGACCAACTTACAATGTTTGGAAGTCATATGTGAGAGATATTGAGCCAGGTAATTCTGGTGGAAGAGGTCCCGTGAAGATGTTGTGTGAGAGGTTCCTGCACGCAATGAAGGGTGTGACTTGTATGCGATGAAGAGAGTGGAGTGAATGCAAAAGTAGACATGGCATTGCAATATGGAGGCACAGATGCATTATAGGGAAATAAGACGACCATGGTACATGATCAGATCACGAACGGTTTACATGTATGAAGTTACACTGCCCTTGTTCAAGAGAACGGAGGGGAAGGGTCCAGAGAAGCTGTTGTTAGACACATCACTGTGGAGGAGGCAGGGAAGTTAGGGAAAGTGGACAATGAAGCTTGGAGAAGGTGAGGAGCGATTGGTGGGAGGACAGCAGGGAGGAAGGAATGAAGCAATTGGTGACGAGGGCAGAGAAAGTAGAAATAACAAGAGATGACTGAGCAAGCCACACGATATCCATTAGCCAATGAAAGTTGTGGATTCATAAACCACTTCAACAGACGAGACTCTGCTTCACAAATTTCAAAAGTAATTAGTGTCTCGAGGCTCATCATACAAATGGGAAAACCTTCATAATACCCTGGTCTACTGATGGCTCTCAAATCAGGTGATGCAATGCAACAAGGACACATGGAAAAAAGAACACTACTTCATACGTTGATGTTTCAAACCATGGAGCCGTACACAACTCCTGCTGGGACTGATGAACCGTATGATCATAACGTGCAGTTAACAGTCCCTTTGAGAATTCTCTAAAGTCCATGGGAAACGTACTGAGCTCGGAACACTCTGCCGGGGTAGGTCGGAAAAGGGCCTGAGTAGTTGCATGAGGAGGCATACCTAAGGGTGAACACAAAGACGAGTGGGAGAGTGGGTACGGGGAGGTGAGAGGAGGGTAGAAGGTGCAAGAGAGAAACAGATATTTCAAGATGAGGCAAGAGAGGGGAAAGAGAAAGAGACTTGACATGATAACAAGTCTACATTGGTGTTTTTTTTTCTTTTTGTTAATTTCTATTTATTTATTTATTTATCAAGAAACAACTCCAGTCTACGTAACACAGCATCAAAAGATTCTCAAATGTCACTCCTTACAGTGATACAAGAGATGGGGACTTCTTGATCAGCGTATCCAAGCCTTTCGTAAGAGGATTGTGGCTGAGGTCCCTGTGGAGGGTATGGGCGATGGTTAACATGGTACACCCGCACTGGTGATGAGATTGTTGGCTGCTCCACACATGTTTTGCACTTGTAATATATGTGGGCAAGTGTGAGACAAGCATAGATAGACGGTGAGAGGAAACAGGTGCGCGAGAGAGAGGGAATGAGGCGCGACATTGAGCATATTGCGATGCGGGACATGAGGGAGGGTCTGCAGCAGCTCAATCAACGACCAGCTGCACTGCAGCTGCTGACACTCCACAGCATCCATCCACCGCCGCCGGTGTCCCAGCGTCTCCAAGGGAAATGGCTCCTCGGGTAGAAGCACCACGTGGAATCTCCTCTAAGGCCGAGAGTGCTGGCGTGGCATGGCAGCTTTGTGACGTGACGGTGATATGTGTGTGCGAGGGGTGCTTGGCGAACACTGGCGCCTGTCGAAGGAGACATGTGAAGGCAGGAAACAGACTCTTCACTTGAAGACATGTCAAGGCAGACTTGGAGGTGGTGGCACAACTCACAGTAATTGGATGTTATTGGAAGGCAAGGATCCCTGCAGGTCGTTGTAGCCCAGATTGCTGGAAACAATTAGAACGTCAGGTCATTGGGGAAAGTTGCATTTCAGCATCAGCACGTCACCATTATTCTATGAACGCCAATGGTAGCATGCCATACCGCGTGATGTAAGGCACAACATGATGGAACGCTCGGGAGCCATGTGCATGTGTTGAGGCAAGAAGAGTCAGACCCGAATCATGACTACGCGTGAGCCCGCGTGAGTCACGGTTGACTCAAAACCGAATTGAGAAGCTGAATCAAGCACCTGAATCGAATCATTTGGGTCCCCTCCGGTGCCCTTGCAGGTGCGGGGATCTTGGGAGCATGTAGACATGAGCATGTGGCCCGGCCCGACCCGACCCGACCCGATTTGGCCGGGCCATACGGGCCCTCGGGTCGGGTCGGGTCGGGCCGACCTCGGGCCAGATTCCCCAAACAGCTGACCCGACCCGGGCCTACTGACTCGGGTCACGGGGGACCCGAGTTCGGGTCGGGCCGCGTCGGGCCAGGAAGACCCGCCCCTTTAATGGGGTGCTCCCCATGACTTGTACATTTATTTTGTTAGACTTGTTGTTACTCCATTTTTATAAAAACTTGTTTTCCTTCCACTTAAGGTGCGATGGTTTTGTAAGCTGTCCAACAGTTACAATGACATGTAAAATAGTCTAGGGGTAGCGACATTGTATAGACATTACGAAACAAGAACAGTGCGATTGGGCTTCCCATAGGGTCTGCCCAAACAAGCGCAAAAAGTTCATGCAAACTACAAACACGTCTGCTAAAACAAACCCCAAAGCAACAACTGTCAAAGCAAGCTACCACAAGTACAAGGAGGTCGCTAATAAATAGGAAGCTGCAATACCACCACAATCACAACAACAAAAAACCCCGCAGCAGCTCTTCCCTAGCAACCGACTCTCACAACCCGAACTGCTCTGCCTCAAGGCACAGCTGCGCAATCGTGGTCCTGCCACCACGAACCTCAAGCCTCTGTCCAGGGTGGTGATCTTGTCAAGTCTTGATCATCATGGCCGCACGCATCTGCTGTGGGCTCGGACGGTGCTGCTGCCACCTGATGATGTTCCTGCTCTGACTAGAGGCTCTCTCACTCGCTGCAGACGTGGCGGGGATACCCAAATAATCGCGAGCCATGGCCCTAAGCCCGGGCAGCTGCAGCTCCCTCCCGCGCCAGTACGCTAAGGCGCACCCACCTCGTCCTGTGCCCGCACCCCCTCCTCTGCCTCCATCTCGGCCAACTCAGAGAACAGCCTAGCCTGAAAGTCCAGCACGCCACGCGACCTGGCCCCCCTGCGCCCTGCAGCCCCGCTCCTCGCCGCACCCTCCCCCGTCACTCCTCTAGCGCTCGTGACCTCACCCCCAAGGCGCGTCTCTGCCGCTGCACGGGCTGCTGTCTGGTAGGGTGGAAGGCGCTCGCGCACGAGCGCCTTCACCCTCTCCTCGGTCAGGTCGAGTGTCCTGGCACCCATGGCATGCCCCCCCGCCGTCACCACAATGGGCGCAGTAGGTCTCGCCCCCCGGGCACTGAGCCTGAAGGTTGCCGTCTTGAGCCAAGGATCGAGGAAGGTGGCAATCGCACACTCCTCGCTCACCCTCCCCATGTGACGTTCCAGCTTGCTCAAGGCCCGGGTTGAGAAGTCAATGCACAGCTCTGTTCGCCTCAAGGATATCCAGGACCATGTTGTACTGCGGCACCACCGCTCCCATGGTGGGGTACAAAGACCCCTCCACGAACAGGATGATGCTGTCAAACGGCTCCAGGAAAGCCCGCAGCTCGTTGAGAGCAGTCCAGTGGGCGTCGGACAGCCTGATCTCTGCCCAGGCCGTGCGTGTCGTCTTCGTGATGTTTGGCTGAGAGGGGGAGGGAGTGAAGGGATGGAGAATGGTGACGAGATGTGGTTGGGAGGGGTTGAGAGGCCACATGGCATGCATGGGGCAACCATTCGATATAAGAACATGGTATCCAAAATGGTAAGGAGATGGAGTGTCGGTGACATTGGGGACGAGAATGGCGACGAGATGGGGTTGGGAGGGGTTGACATGCATGGACTAACCATTCAATATAAGAACATGGTATCCAAAATGGTATGGAGATGGAGTGTCGGTGACATTGGGGACGAGAATGGCGACGAGATGGGGTGGGGGGGGGGGGGGGGGGGGGGGAGAGGCCACATGGCATGCATGCGGCAACCATTCAATATAAGAACATGATATTCACAATGGTATGGAGATGGAGTGTTGGTGACATTGGGGAAGAGAATGGCGATGGGATGGGATGGAGCATGGTAATCCCATACTTACCAGAGAAGACTCGTCAAAGTACATTGTGAGAGGGATTGGCAGCTCACACCCCCTCACCACCATCTACAGCGTAGAACCCAAGCGCGTGTCCGAGTGCACGATCAGGCGCAAGTCAATAGGTCTCTTGCGCCCACTACTGCCACCCTCTGCCTGCCTCGCCCCCCTCTCTGCAGTGCCCCCCCCTGCCTGCCTCTCCCCGTCCTCTTCCGCCCCCTCCCCTGCCTGCGTCTCCGCAAGTGTCGCAGCGTACCGCTTCTGAATGCCAAAAAAACGCTCCGACTACTGCACCGACCACCCTATGTAGCTAGCCACAGCACGGAGCCTCCGGAGCGCCTCGGCCACCGGCTCGATCTTGAATGCGTACTGCACTGCGAGGTTCAGGACGTGCGCCACACACCTGGAGGGCAAGCATTGACAGAAAGAAATGGGTATGATCCCCCATAGTATTGTGGATCAGTTGGAACTTGACTTTGCCTGATATGCGCATGGACACTTATAGCAAGAGCGAATGACACTCACTTGAAGTGCCGAGCCAGGGACGTGACGGGGGGGTCACGCAGACGTGAGCCCGGTGTGTCGTCTAGCACGCCGGACAGCAGACGAACCGCCCGGTTGTTGTTCTCGGCGTTGTCCGTCGTCACGCCGAAGAACTCACCACCACCCAACGCCCACTCCCCTATGACCTCCTCCAGCTCAGTCGCATTCTTATCCCCCGTGTGACGGCCCTCCAGCGACCGGAAGTCGATCACCATCTGCTGCAGCTGGAAGTCCGAGGTGACTCGGTGAGCAGTCACCACCATGAAGGCGACGTTGTTCTCGCTAGTCCATATGTCCGTGGTGAGTGTCACCCGCCCCGCCAGACCGTCGCCCGTCAGTAGCTGTCGCAGCTGAGCCTTAGCCGTCTCGGCCGCGGACAGCAGGTCCCGCGCAAGGCGGAAACGGGTACTGAGATACTGTGCCACAACGGGGTTAAGCAGGGTCACGAAATCACGAAACTGTCATAGAGGTGGGGCACAAACATGGTTGGGAGTGAATGGAGATTGTGGTGGCAGGAGATTGGCATAGCATGTCAACGTATACTCGATCCTGCTCCAGTACAGAAGAAAACGCGCACAGTGCTTACCGCTGGCCTGACGATAGAACGGAACGACATGTCAAGGCCGGCGAACTGCATGACGAGGCCCTCGCGCAGCTGCCGCTCTCCAACTCGAGTCGTGACGTACTGATCGATGGTACCCTGCCTCCCCCCCCCGACGGCAGCTCCTCCGGTCAACCCACTCGGCCCGGCCCCGTCTCTGCCGGTACGTCAGGCCATGTGGTAGCGTGCTCCCACGGCCACTTCGTCTTATCCGGAACTGTAGCTCCCCAACCCCCATCCGGGAAAACTAGCGAATCAGACTTGTTTGGGTCCAGAAAGCGACGGACCCAAATCTGAAGGCTAGGATAGTGCGTCCTCTTCACATGCCTGGCCCCCGAGCTCATGTTGCCTAAACGCCAACCAATCACTGTGTTGCACGTAAGGCATCGCCGGGAGTCGTTGTTCAACGCCCCGAACATGCCTTGTACCAAGCCTGGCTCTCCCCTGCTCAGAGCTGCCTCCACGATCGGATCCAGGTCATTATCCGTCGGCTGCTGGTTGGCCTCCCGCATTGCATTGATAGTAGCCCAGGAAAGACCTATGCGGCACGATCCATCAATGGCCACGGCAGCAGCAGCAGCAGCAGCAGCAGCAGCAGCAGCAGCAGCAGCAGCAGTAGCGCGAGGGCGTCTGGCAGCGCGAGGACGAGCAGCTGCAGGAGTAGCAGAGGGCGGACGCCCAGCAGCAGCGGGAGCCGCAGCAGCAGTAGCTGCAGCAGCAGTAGCGGGAGCAGCAGTAGCGGCAGCCGCAGGTGCACCAGCAGCTGGAGCGGACACGGCAGTAGGTACTGCAACTCCACCCACACGTGCTCTCTTCTGTCCCACACGGTCCCCCCCATCCTCGCCACCGCTTTCACCGTCACTCGCAGCACCAGCATCCGCATTACTCGGCCTCCAAGTCGGGTCACGACGTTCTGTTGGCGACTGCTGCTCTGCAGCACGCAGGTCGTCCATCGCCTTCTGCCATCGCTCCTCCTCCGAAGCCCGCCTCGCCGCAATGCCCTCTTCAAGGGCCACCGGGTCAGCACCAGGGGAGAGCTGGCCCAACTGGAACCCCTCCCCACCGAAGGATGTCACACCGACGGCCGCAAGAGAGAATCCTGGAATCCGCGTGGAGCTCGCTGGATTTTCGTCCGCGCCGGACATTGTACGCGCCTAAAATCGCTACTTAACGGACTAAACCGAGCCGCGTGCGCGCAGATTCACCGTCACGGTGCAAGCGGGTGACGCTAAACCTATGCGGAATGGTGCAGCGGGTGCAGATAAACTAGTCTACTAAAGCGGAAACGCAACGGTAGATGTCGGCTTGATTGGAAGTAGAGGATACGCTTGAAAAAATAAAACCCTAAAAACTACTAATCTGACCAGTGCGAAAATTACTAAGAGCTGCGTAAATCGTGTATCTAAGAATCTAAATAAAGGAGTGTCAAATCGTGGGGTGATGCCTTAGGTAGTTGGTAGCTTAGTGGGGGGTACTTAGGAAGTGCTGCTGCTGGCTTGGCGTGAGTGGCGAATGTACTGAGGGGAAAAAAAATCCCTCGATCGATTTACATTAGGGCTAGGGTTTCGGCCCTAGCCCTATCGAAATCGGGTCGCGCGCCTGGCCCGACCCGATTTCGATGGTTCCGACCCGAAATCGGGTCGGGTCTGGCCCGACCCGAAACTTGGCTCGGCCCGGCCCGAAATTGCCCCTCCAGTCGGGCCATCGCGCGGGTTGGGCCGGGTCGGCACGCACGGGGCAGGGATGCCGAATGTTTGACCTGACCTGTGCAAATACACGGGTCGATCGGGAGTTGTCGAACGCAGACAGGTGGGCTGCGGAGGTCTTACTTCCATCAACTTGTATGGTTATTAAAACGACGAGACAAACCCCATGGAATGGATGGATTTCCCGGTTAACTGTGAGCTTAAAGCGTTGTCTTAGAGAGCCAGTGTAAACAAATCGTCAACTTAATCCAGTACTTGTGTAAACTAGTTTCGGTCCTTTCGGTCCTTCATCAGTACATACAAGCCTGAGAATGTTTGATGGGGCAGGGATCCCGAATGTTTGACCCGACCCGTGCAAATACACGGGTCGGGTCGGGTCGGCCCGACCCGAACGGGGCACATGCTCAAGTCTAAACAGATGGGGCCAGTAAAGGTGATATCACTAAGGCCCATCTCACGAGTGTTCAGTGGGTAGTGAATGGGGATCAAAGGCGGTATACCAGTGAGCGAGTGAAGGTTGTCTCATGGTGCAATGTGTGGCTTACTTATTGACATCACAATGCACTCAAAGCTTCCCTCCTTGCTTACTATCCATACAGGACTCACAGAGATGAGAGAGCAGGTGAAATTGCAGTAGGCATGGTGGTGAGGTGATTGTGGGAGAGGTCTCTGCACACAGTGAGGGCAGGCAGTGAGGGCAGCGAGTGAGTGCAGGCAGTGAGACCAGTCGGGGAGGTGATGTGGAGGGGAGGAGGAGAGTCTTTGTACAGGGCGGCTGAGATAGGAGCGAGAATGCCTCAGTGCCACATGTCAGGGGGTGTGCGGTTTGGAAAGAGCTCCACAATTGGCAGAACATGACGCAGGGCTATGAAGCAAAAGGTGCATGAGGCATGCCATGACTGGGCGGGTGGTGCTTGCAAAGATTGCAAGGAACGGACTTTCCCAGGACATGCTAGGGCGAGGCGATAATACGATCCACGCCCAGCTTGAGCTATCAGAAACACAACGGAACACAATCCTTTACCGCCTAACCGGAACCCAAGTTATGCAATTCCGAAGCAGCAGAAGGAGCATTTGAAGGGATGTCAGCAGAAACTTGCAACTAGAGGAAAATCCATATGTAGGGAATGTTCACAGAAGACCCGCCATGTGATTCTGTTTGGTTGAGACTTGGCATGCAAGGTGTCACTTGCGAGGCAAGGCAGGCCTTGGAGACTCACAAGGTTCTGAGGGGTGCACGAGTGGCAGGAACAGCACCGGTGAGATTGTTGGACGAGAGGCCCCTGGGTTTTGTGGAGGCACGCACGCAGGCGTGGGGAGAGGCCAATAGAAGCATGTGCGTGTCATGGACAGAACAATGCAGTGACTCTGTATACTGATGTCATTTCGTTTGAGGAAGAAGATCTGTAGAATGCAGGGATTGGCTTCGAAGAGCGTGTACTATCACCTGAGAGGCGGAGCCTTTTCCAGAATGGCTGGAAAACGGCTTGCACTATGCCATGCCACACCAATTCAACTGACGCAGATGGAAAGCTGAATCGTGGTCTCATGCTCATTCAGGTCACATGCAATAGAGCCGACGTACAAATGATACAGAAAGGGAAGGCGTGTATGAAAACTATGTGGAAAGGGAATGAGGAGCTGGGGTTCTATGCAGAATTTAGGACGTGGTAGAGCGTCAGAGGGCCAACCAGATGTAACAACCTTACAGGTATTTCAGGCGAGAGAGGTTGAGGATGCCATCAGGAATGCTCCCTGAGATGTTGTTCAAATCGAGCTCTCTGGTGGGGCCATTGCAATACAAGCAGGTGGGAGAGGTTGTGAGGAACGAGCACCGGATAAACCACACTCACAGGATGAATTGCTTTCACAAGATAAACCACATTCACAGAATGGATAGCCTTTACAGGTGGTATGTTTCCATGTCCTCACAGGCAGATTTGGTGAAAGCTGAGCAATAATCTTTCCACGTTGGCCCTCACAAAAACCCCGTGCTTTTGCATATCTTACAATCTTGTCTTTCCTTTTTCTTGACTTCCCTATTTCTTCCTCTTTTCTTGTCTTCCCTGTTTCCTGTCTTCCCTCTATCCTGTCTTCACTTTTTCTCGTCTTCCCTTTCCATGACTCCTTCATCTCCAGATTGGATCTCGTGGAAGGAGGAGCAAGGAAGTGTAGAGTGGGTGGGAAGGCGGGCATACAGGTCAGTGAGGGCGGTGAGGGCGGAGATGGTTGAGGGGATAGAGCCAGTGAAGCCATTCAGACCGGCCCGCCTGGAGGTGCAAGGGAAGGGGCGAGAGGAGAGGAGGAGCGAGAGGAGGGGTGAGAGGAGGGGTGAGAGGAGGGGAGGGGCGAGAGGAGGGGAGGGGCGAGAGGAGGGGAGGGGCGAGAAGAGGGGAGGGGCGAGAAGAGGGGAGGGGCGAGAGGAGGGGAGGGGCGAGAGAAGGGGAGGGCGCACCAGTATGTGTTGGGCAAGGAAGTGGGCAGCAGAGTGGGAGAAAGCACTGCTGGCTGGTAAAAAATGAAAGAGATGAATGACTGTGAACGGTCGCTTGGGAATCTCAAGCCAAAACGGTGTGCTCAAGTGCGGTGGATGGCTCACAGAGTCTCCAGCCCTGTGAGCGCCATCCACTCGGTAGGAAACGGTGCAGAGCGGTGGACGTTGAAGTTGCCGGTGACATCCCTGCGGGGCGGTCAGGCACAGAAGGGTAGGGGAGGCACAGGACGCTCCAATCGGTTGAGAGGCAAGGCAGGCAGGGGAGCAGTGCAAGTGGCATCAACGTGCATGTCGACTCAATCCCTATGATTCGACAGACGCGTTCTGCGTCCTGGACGAATGCGTCCAGACGAATGCGTCCAGACGCAGGACGCAGAACCTGGACCTAGAAGACGCACCAAAAGACGCAAGCCCGGGCAGGGCAAAAAAAATCTGGGCAGGCAAAAAAAAAGTATAGGGCTTGGGAGAGGGGGGGGGGGGGAGGGGGACCTACCACACTTCCAATGCAAATTTTTCCCCAACCACAAATTTGTCCCCCAAAATTTAAGATTAAGGTGAGTCACGTGTCAAAATCGCGATCGATTGTTTTTCGGGCTGCCTGAAAAAATTTTCGCCGTGCGTCCTGCGTCTAGACGCGCGTCCTGGTTGTGTCTTTCTCATCATAGCTCGATCCCTCTAGCCATCGTGCATAGCCCTGGCCTGCCATGGTCCATGCGTGGCATAGGCCAAAGCAGCATGGCACAGAGCAGCACGTGAAGTGCCGATTAAGGCACTTCAATCAAGGCGGTAAAAGCTAAGTCGGGGAGCAGCTCTGAGCAGGTGATAGCAAGCACTTGAAAGAAAGGCTCTGGCAATGAGCAAAGCAAGCAGAGAGTGAGTTCGTAAGTGGCAAGACTGCAGCAAGTCACAGGTGGTGCAGGGAGGGAGATGGAACCCACAGAGCGACCGTGCACCGTCTCTTGAATCCCAAGTGAAGCATGCACGGGCAAGGTGCAACAGGAAGCGCTGATGGGATGATGATCGGAGGTGCGTGGGGTGAGGTGGGGTGAGGTGCGGTGAGGTGAGGAGCTTGTGGTGGCACGGCACGCACTCACAATGTGGAAAGGTTGGGGAGCGATGCAATCCATTGCGGCGTGCTGGTGATGGAAAGGAACTTTATGTCACTGTAACAGAGTGAAAGAAAGAGAGGGGAGAGAGAGGGAGGGGGTGAGCACACAGGCAAGACCCTCCTGACACTGCACTGCCAGTTCAAGCATGGATATGACTTGTTACTGGTGGCGGCTGATAATGGGGGCTTGTTAGTGGTGGTGATAGAGATAGCACATGAATCCCATTTGGGAAAGAGAGACGTGTTTGGTTAAGAGAATTTCGCTGATCTTGATTTTGTCGTATTGCTGAATAAATGAGACGCAATGATTCAACGAACAAGCACACACCCCCTCCCAAAGAGCTAACCAAGATCAAGTCCCTGATGACACCAACACAATGGTTGTGCGTTGGGAAATGCTGCTTATCCATCCACCACGCACAAACCATGGATGAGATCATAAGATGGCATGCTCTCAAGAAAAAAGGAAGGGCTTACAGGGTTGTGAGTGAAGTAAGGGCAGAGAGAGAGGAAGGCAGCTCTCCGGCCGTGAGGTTGAGAGTCATGAGAGCGCTGAGGGGAAGTGAGTGTGACAGACAGAGAGGCATGAGTGAGAGGGGAGGGGAAGGCGGGCAGGGATGAGAGAGAAGGCAGGAGAAGGCGGGCAGGGATGAGAGAGAGGGGAGGGGAAGGCGGGCAGGGACACGAGAGAGGAGAGGGGAAGGCGGGCAGGGATGCGAGAGAGGGGAGGGGTAGAGGGGCGTACAGGTGGCGGAGGCGAGTGAGCGGGGCGAGGCAGGAGAGGTCGGCCATGGGGCCTTGCAGCACAGGGGCGCTCATGGTAGCCATGATGGCAAGCATGCTGCGAGGAACAGCCAAGGCAGAGAGTGCAGGGAGAAGGAGGAGCTGGGAAAGGGAAATCATTCGCTTACTGTGGACTGTGCTTGCACACGCACGGCGTGAAAGGGCATGACAACAGCAGGAAGTGCAGCAGGGGAGAGTGCAGAAGCCCACACACAGACAGCTTCTGCAACTGCAGTCACCGCTTTTACCAACTGGCAGCACACACAAACACACAGGCGCCTCTTCTATAGCTTCTGTAATCATGTGACGTTGGCACATTCGTGCAAACATCTGAATGGCAATCCAATAACAGCATGCAGTAGTAACAATAGGCAAACCCCCGATCCGATTTATGCCATCCGACTCACCTTGGTGGGTCCTCAGGGAAATTAGGATCGACAAAGTACTGATTCTTTCCAAAGGACCTGCATGAAACGAGGGGGGCAGAGAAGAGGGACGGTAAGGGAGGCGATAAGGGAAGGGAGCTTATGCAAGCAGCTGAGGGCGGATAGGAAGAAAGAGGAGCAGTGGGCGGGACCTGCAGAGCACAGCGCAATATGTCAACACGGGATGTGAGCAATGCGCATGGTAGCAATGTGGTAGAAGAGTAGGGGGAGGCTCAGGAAGGAGAGGATGGAAGGCGAAGGGGCAAGCATAGGATAGGAAAAGGGGAGGTACAGTACAGGTATGTGAGTGCAGTGAGGCGGCTGATCGTGGATGGGAGGCTTCCAGCGAGATAAGCAACTTCCGCCAGGTCACTTGCATGGGATGGATGGCAAGGGGTGCACACAAGTGCGTGCCATGCCAATAGAGGACAATATGCATTTGGTTTGCACACAAGCAGAAGAGGCCGAATCTCAGATGTTGGAAACTGAAACCAAAGAGGCGGGATATGCTCAATCAAAACATGCAGAACAAAACACCACTTTTCTCTGAAATCTGAGCTGCCCTTGCAAGCAAGTCGATGCGTGAATAAGCCGAGCCGAGCCGAGGCAGCAAGTGAAGCAACGGACAGCGAGAGCCATGGCGCCTGGATTGAATTTGAAACAAGGGAGTGGAAAGCCCTCTTACAGGTGCTGCAGACTTGTGGCATTGCCGATGGCGTCAGGGATGGACCCATTGAAGCTGCTGAAGCTGAAATCACTGTGATGGGCCGTATGCCATGGCAACGGCACGCATGTGGGTGCGGTGGGCAGACTTGGCAGGTTTGAGATAGATAGAACATGGAGGGCGGAATGACTTAGAGCGCGCACGGGTTTGCATTGCAGGCATAGAGCAGAGCAAAAGGGCAGAGCAATAGAGGGAACAGAACGCTTATAGAGGTGGGGAGATGGCGAAAAGGCAGAGCAGAGGTACGTACACGTATTGCAAGTGGGGCAGGTGGCCGAGAATCTCCAGGCTTCCAATGAAATGGCACCATGGCAACTCCCTGCAGTGAGCCATGTGAGTGGGAAGGGTGGGAAGAAGAGAGGCGAATCACAATATAAGCTCAGAGATCTTGCAAGTTATACAAACGCTGGATTGGAAGATACCTCGTAAGGAACTTGTGGAGTAACTAAGCTAATAAGAGATGAATAAGGAGCCTCCAGCCGTGTGATTTGCAGGAAAAGCTGTTGCCAGCAAACGTGTTTGAGTGGTAAATCTGTGCAGCTCCAACCACTCAACCTCCCTTACGCCCCTCATGGTGCCTCCCTCGCAACACTGGTATGCACTGACAGTTTTTGGAGAGCTGTCAAGGCTGTGATGTCTGACGGCACGACTCCAAATACTATATGACTACTGGTTGAAGTCAAGAACCTGCAGTGCAGCAGGAAGAGAAGGAACGACCTAGTTGTGGTTGGCGAAAGATTGAGAAGCAGCTGGCTGTTAGCTGCTGGCTGCTGGCTGCTGGCTGCTGGCTGCTGGCTGCTGGCTGCTGGCTGCTGGCTGCTGGCTGCTGGCTGCTGGCTGCTGGCATGGATGCAAGATCGCATGTTTCTGCATGCAAGTTCACATCACGGCAGGGAAGGTCACTCTATTACCTACCTAACACGGTCCCACAACATGGCCACTTCAACTCAACGCCCTCGCAGTGCTGCCCCTGTCCATCATCCATCAGCCCAAACACCCGTTTCTTCCCTCTTATTTCCCCCTCTCCCCATCCTCACTCCCTCCTTCCTTCCTCCCTGCCTGCACCCGTACTGTTCTCCTCCCAGAGCACACGTGGCGAGGCTCACTCACAGTGAGGTCACCATGCCGTGAGTGTTACATTCCACGGAGCCAACGAAGTAGAAGACCCACCATTCGTCGCAGAATACACATGACGATTCACAGGACCAGGCGCCCCATGCGCTGTTCAGGGCCAGCAGCACTTGTACTGAGGGCCAGGTGGAGGGAGAGGTTGTTGGCGGGCGGAAAGGCAGGGCGAACGGGATGAGTATGGCACGGCAAACGTCCAACGGCTGGGCGACAAAAACTTCTTTTATAGCATCGCGTCTCTATGTGCGGATTAAAAATGGAAGCGGCACTTGTGGCAACACGAATGGCAGAGCATGATGCAGCGCTCCTGAATCCAGGCTTCTCACGCTGCGTCGGTTGCAGCTTGATGCGCGCCTGACTCGGCGTTGCGGACGCCGCCACCCGGCGCAGCGGCGCAGCTCCTACGGGCGGACGACCGCCGTCCGCGGCCGCACGGAAGGGGCTACTCGTAGTGGCGGAAGCGAGAAGCATCACGACGACCAGAACACGGCACACAATGCACGGGTTGTGAGGGACTACTAGCTTCGAGTTTCGCGCCATGATTGTTGAAGAAAGAGAGAATACGCGACTCGAAATGAACAAGTGATTAAGAAGAAAGTGAAAAGAAAGCTCAAATCAAGAAAGCTCAAATCAAGAAAAGCTCAAACCAAGAAAGCTACAATCAAGAAAGCTAAAATCAAGAATCTGAAAGAACCAAGAAACTAGCATGCTGTCTTTATCCTGCGCTTTGTGAAAGCATGTGTAACGCGAGACCTACCTAAGCACCAACGAAACCCTGTAGTCAATGTTGAGAAGTTCCTCCACAAGAAATTGAACTACGAGGGAGAGGAAGGTTGAGTTGGAGAGGAAGATAGGTTCGGTTTTCCCAAACCCCAACCTTGAGGCATGGAAATATTCCAAACCATCAAAGTGAGGTTTGAATGGTTGGTTTTCCAACCAATCAAATTGTGCCAGCAGTTGTTACAATCCACACAAACTTTAAACCAACCATACAATTGTGCTAAGTTGGGTTTTCCCAACCAAACAAATGTGCCACCTAGGCTCCAAGCCCATTAGCTCCCCAACCATGGAAGCCATGGTTGGGAAGAGCCCCAAGGGGTATTGTGGAAGGGGTTGGAGCTTTCAAGCTCATTCCCACTTCCCAACTCCAACTTACCAACTTGGAAATGGGATTTCTCTAAGTTACTTTGGCTCTCTTAACAAGCTCTCCTACACAACTAGACTTGTGTTATTTCAAGGATAAGCTCTACAAGAAGCTACACAATTTCCCAAGCTTCATCAACCTTCTTCAAGCTCTATTTCTCCTCTCAAGCTTGAAGACTATATCAAGGCTAGATTATCCCTTGGTGGGATTAGTTAGACTTGCAAGCCTTGTATCTTCATTTTATAAATATTGTCAAGGGTGGTTTATATTTAACCCACGGTTGCCCGTTGTTATAAGGGCCGTGGTTGTTACAGCATGTGTCACGAGGATTCGCCATTTCTCGAAACTCTACCCAAACGTCAGAAAACGCAGTCCCTACAAGTGTAGGAGGAACGCCGACCTCTCCCGTTCTGTAGCGCCCGCTTGTGCCTGGTAGCATAGCAGACTTGTCGCGCTGCCACGAACCGAGCCGTGGCCGTTGCGCTGAACAGCGCTGGCGAACAGCTTGCTATCGGAAGGAACCAAGATGGAGGGGGGCGGGAGGAAGGTTGACGTAGCTCACGGCAGGGGTTGCCCACGGCTGGAAAAAAAAATGGAGGGGAAAATATGTGAATGGTAACTATTATGGGTCACAATTGTAAGGAATTCTCTCAAATTCCTTACTTAGTCACACTCTACGCGCTCAATCCAGTTTTCATAAACCCATGCTCGGCCCGACGGCCTCGCCTTCCGAACCACCATCGCGTCGCCTTCGGGTTTTCCAACCCCGAACCTGCACCCAACCTTCTCGCGACTTTGCAACCTCGGCCTAGCTAGCATTGCTATATTAGTCCTAGGCTTCGTTCTTGCTCGGAAGTTGTAATCACTTCCGTGATGTTGCATTTTGCGCACTCTTGTTTCGCAAAATGCATAACAGCAATAATGCGTACCGTAACCTTTACAAAGTGATTTCGTGTAATGAAAGTATTATTCGTTACTGTAGAGCTTCCCTTAGAGAGGACAGTTCCGAGCTGTTGGAATAGCCGAAAGGTTATACAAGCATTCCCGAAGCTATTCATCTGTACCAGTACCGCAATAGCTCATATAGAGCACGCGGAATATCGAGGGTCACCCGAAGGTCAACCGTCTGAGAAAGTCAACGGTCGTGACCTTCGACGGTCTAGTAACCACGCGACAGTTAATTCACTGCAACATGGTAACTCTCGAGAATAGCAATAGTCGCGGTTACTGTAGCTATGCAATACAGTTAATAAGGGAATGTACCCCTCAGAGTACATGGCTAGCTAGATTTCTAATTAAATCTCTTGTACTCCTATCTTTTAATCATCTTGTTCTCTTTCAATTATTATTTCAACAAGGTCACTACATAGACTTCACTCTCTCCTCTCAGACTTAACAGATCCTATCCTATCTACTAGATCCTTTGGTTATATCAGCATGGTATGAGAGCTAGAGTGGATTATAGAATCTGTCAAGTCTTTGTTCTTCTCAGAACAATCTTTTCATAAAGTCATTCATTACACTTCAAAGTCTGCAACACTATGGCTCCTGAAGGGAAAGCTATTGCAGACTCACCGGGCCCACCACCAGCAACGACTAACGCGCCATCAGCGGTGACCTCCGTCAGCGCCGCTGTCGTTGAGCAGCTAGTCGCACGCATCAACGCTCTTGAGAGCCATCAAGCAATGAGCATTGACGGCTCAAGCTATGCACGTGGCGTTGCTGGACTTCCTCTTCCAGGAGAAGACCGCCGCGTCAACTCCGAGAGATCCTTCACCTTTGACAATCGTCAAGGCTCGGCTCCTGCACAAGACAACCCACAACGAACATCGTCAGACATCGCATCCATGCAAACCAAGTTTGTATTAACTTCAAGTTGAAGACTTCAATTCCTTTTGACGAGAAAGATTTCTACACGTGGAGTTTCGAATTCGAGCTTCTCGCAACAACTGCTCAAATCTGGATGTACTACGATGGAAGTTTACCTTTTCCTTCGGAAGGAACCATCCAGGAGAAGCACCAATACTACCACGAATCTCTCCTCGCGTACACCGCGCTCCTTCGCAGCTCGGCATTCGTCCCTACAAGACGGAGTGGGCTCCCGCGCACGCGTCCTGGGAACACCTGCGCAACTCATACATGGCAACAGATCCAGTTACTATGAGTCGCCTGCTCAGTCAACTAACTTCGGTTAAAATGAAGCAAGGGGAGAAAGCGGGACCGTATGTCAACCGGTGCCGCAATCTGCGCGATCAAGTCAAGAAATGCGGTGGGACTGTTCCCGACGACATGTTCATCTCGATGGTCATCTCTGGACTTGGTCCCGACTGGCGTCAGTTTCAGTCGCTCCTTCGCACCCGAGCAAGCATATCGGAGTCAGCTCTGTGCGCCACGCTTCTTTCGGAGCAGAAGGAGATCGACCTGTACAACGAGAAGAATGTCAAGCGGGAGAAATTAGCCTTCTACACAGGAGCATCACAAGGGGAGCAACGCGGAAAGAAGGGAGCTTTCTGCAAATACTGTAAGAAGTCCGGCCACTCCATTGGCCAGTGCTACAAGCGTCAGGCTGCTGATGAGCGGCGCAGTGTGTCCAACCAGCAACCCTCGGCTCAGCCAAAGCCTTCTGCCGCAACCCCCACTGTGTCGCCTCCTTCTGTCGCCAGCACTTCTCAGTCTCCTACTCCGCCTTGTTTTCCTCGATTGGTTGCGCTGCAGGTCCTGACGTGCCACTATCTTCTTCCATTGTGGCAGATCCGGTCTCTGCAGGGTTGGAGGTCGAGGCAGTCGGAACGGTGCGCAAGCGCAGAAGGCCGTCGGAGGCAGGCCGCTCGAGGTCCATCTTGTCGGGATGCGACCACGTTGGCGGCTCCGTAGGAGTCGTTTTTAGCAGCAACGTGCGGTGGGAATCGCCGGTGGTGCCTTGAGCCGAAAATTGAAGTACGAAGACTCCATCGTTATCAATCGCCTTTCCGATGTAAGTTTCGCTGTGAAATAGTTCGAAGGTTTTCTCCTTGCGATTGCTGCGAATGTCAATTCCGCACCGCATGAGCTGAGCTGAGGAGAGTAGGTTGTATTGTAGATCCGGAGCGACGAGGACATCTCCGATGTGAATGGTGAACCTCGTGTCATTGGCCTCGAGGTAGATTTCGCCGATCTCATATGCTTTCGTTTTTCCGTTGTTGGCGGCGGTGATTTCGCAGGGTCGTCGCATGTGCCGTGAGTTGCTGATGAACTTCGGCGATCCCACCATGTATTGTCCGTAGCAACTGTCGAGGTACCATGTGTCCAGATCATCGTAGCGCTGGCGGGCGAGGTTGGCGATCTTGGGCGTGACGATGCGATCAAAGTCGCCGGTGTACGGTAAGAGGGCAAAATATCTGTTTGCGGAAATGCTCGGCGGCGATTCCGGAGTAGGAGGGGGGAGCTCGAAGTCAGGAGGAATGTCTGAGGGGCGATTCGACCAGGTGAAGACTGTTGGGTCGTTGTCTGGTCTTGGCGCAACGGGGTTGATGGGATTGTCGCGTGCGAATGTTACTCGATCCCAGTAGCAGAAACCTCTGTTGCGACAAGCCATGCAGCTTATGATTGTTCCTTTTCCTTTATCTTTCGCCGTGATGAGCCGGCGCTCGGATCCTAGGGCGAAGTTCTAATTCCTGAGGAAGCAGCCACAAGCGGGTGGAATGCTGTCGGGTGGGGCGCCGTCTCAACAGAAGAAGTTGGTGCGACCGGTTGGGGAACTCCCCCTGCCCCAACAAGAGAAGCAGAAACAGCTGGGGACACTTGGGGCGCCGGCGGAGGATGGGGAACCTCGACTGAAGCAAAGCAAGGGCACACCGAAGCAGCTGGCTTTCCCCCTGCGGAAGTCGCCGCCATGGACCCATACTGGGCAACTCGCGGCACCAGTTGGGGAGGTCCCCCTCTCCCAGACCAGTACGTTCCTAACACACCCGAACCAATGCCAGAAGAGTCAGAAGAAGAAGAAACCTACGAATTCATGGGAGAACCAGCAGAATTACCTGAACCTACCGAGGAGCCGGAGCCGCCAGTGCAAGGACCACAAGAAATTGAGGTCATCGGTGCCGAATATAGTTACTTCAGAATTCCCATGACGGGACTCCCAACTCGGGATTGGCCTGATCGATGCCTGCTCGTTACCGGAGACCAAGTCGAAGCCAGCAACACCGACGACATCATCGGTATTCCCCACGCGCTTCTGGAGCGAAAAGCAATTCGCGCGCTCGCCGCCGACACCGACAACGCCACCAACGCAGGACCTGAAGGGGAGTCAAACGACGAAGCAGCGCGACAAAAATATTATCAGAGAACAGTCGGCTATCGCGCGGACCCAGCAACATGGCACCAACGGCTGGGACATCCTTCCCACGCCACGCTAAAA